GTACAAACTGTAATAAAAGAAATCTAGATTGTACTTTAATAGAGGGTAATAAGCGCGGTCCAAAGTCTGCTGCTGATACATACCAAAGTACATTCATGAACAATTCTTCCTTCATTCACGATGAACACACGTCAAATAATGATCAAAACATTACGTCCTCTCTTAATTTCTCCCCTAATTCATTTTCTGCTAATGATTCTTTATCACATCTTTATAGTCATACTACTGAGGTTACTCAACCTTCGTTATATTTTCATGACTATGATCAGAATATTCCTTCCTTTACAACTAACGATTTAAACGGTTCCTTCTATCACGAAACTTCACATCCTCATATTGACCCTCTTGATGAGGCTACTGAATCATCCCAAAATTGCAAGTACGTTCTGTTTTGTCTGAATCACTGTCGGATTACGTTCAATCCTTGTTTTCACGATTAGCCGATTAGCTCAAAAATGTGTAGAATGTGACTTTTTTCCTTTCAATTCTTTTTTATTCGATACAATTTTTTTTTTATTCGCTACAAACACATTCACAAACGGGTGTCGCAAAGCGAAAACCTGGAATTCACAAACGAGTGTCACAAAACGCAAACCTGGAATTCTTGATTTTCGGAAATTCACTTTCAGAAACAGTGATAATATTCCTATAATAAATTCTATTTAATGAATCATATGTCGGAAAACTCTCAATTCCAGGTTTTCCCTTTGCGACACCCAAACAACTTTCGTTACAAATTATTATTATTTTTTTTTATTCGTCACAAGCACAAACATTTCTCGATTTCTCGATAATTCTTTTTTTTTCTATTCGATAAAAATCTTCTTTTTAGTTACAAGTTTATTTCGTTATAGACATTTATTGAGTTACAACCGCTTTTTCTATCACGAATAACATCACTTAACACTTTATATAACCGAAAATGGACTTAGGTTTAAATCTATGGTTTTGTCTTCATATTGTTGAGATTATTTAGATATGTTATGAAATATGCTCTGATCAAATAATTTAATATTCTTAAGCAAAATAAAATTTCATTATAAGGAAATAATTTTTAAAAAAATTTTGATAACCTAAAAAAAAAAATACCGGAATAAAAATATATCCTACTTGTATATTACTAGATTTATGAGTCATTTAACATATTGAAAAATAAGAGAAATGAACAAGGAACGAAGGATTGTTATGTACGGACTCATTTTATTGAAAGTTCACTTAGCCGACATCACTTAGAGTTAGGTTAACACTTGATTACTAGTTTTTATGACATGTATACATTTGATTAGTTGCAGGTAGAGATGGGCCACGCGCGGGATGCGCGGTTTTTTTTTGGATCCCGCGCGGGATTTTTAATATGAGATTATTTGGC